TTTTCAAAATACTTGAAGTTTGTTGAATAACCTCATATGTAACATTAAAGAAAGTAAATGTAGTTTAATGGCTCTATTAATAGATTAGAGTTTGCTAAAGTATAAATGTAGTCTCGGGCTGGAAAAGGAACACTCTCCATTTCAAGTTCAATATCAAAATCATGTTATTACCCAATAGTAAACTACCCAGACTTTGAAACAATGCCATTTATATATCTGCAGTGAGCTTTAAGGACTACAGTTATATACAAAAGCTTAACACACACACTAATAGCTGGAAATGACAAACCCTTTGCGTTAAGTCACACAAAAAAAGTTGTGTGTTGATTAATTTAGAAGGTAGAATTTAAAGATTGCATTTTTTTCAATGTGAAAAAAGACTTCTAACAACATGTTATATATGATTTTTCTTCTCTTATGTTACAAAAATAAGTGTAGATGAGAATGCCTGAGAGTATTTGGAAACTAAAATCACAGAAATTACTTTAGACTTTATAGTACGAACAGCTATCTCATCATTAATACAAGTATACTCAAAGAACATAGATTCAAAAGAATTAAATCCAGACTTCCGCAATTACAGGCACAACTTCATACAATTTCTTCTTTAAACATCTTTAAAGTAGGGCAATTGTATATAATAAATACACATCTTTCAGTAAAAAAAAGAAGAGTAGAAATTTACTGTACAAAGCAAGTATGTGGTTTTGCTAAATGATACCAAAACGATTGCATTTATTGTTTAAATTTCTTGGGGGAAAAAAAAAAGATCTTGTACGTAACATAATGGGTTTTAAAGCTCTCGTTTCAGTCCTTTCTGCTCATTGTTCTTCAAATTTCTTGCTGCTTTGCTTTTCTCTTTGTCTTGCACAGACCACCAGACTACACCCACAATCACATTTGGGAAACTTTCCTGACATGTGGTTTCTGCAGTTTCCCTCTGCTTTTCATCACTGGTAGAAGGTTCTGTCCTTGTGTTTAGCTGGTTTCACAGACGATTATTGAAACTCTTTTCTTTTACTTACTGCTGGATTGTTTATATATTATTCCATCAGTTTAATTGGACCGTACTCCTTTACAAAATGTGGAAAGTATAAGCTTGTCAGAAGAGAAATTTAACAAGTAGGGTTGTAATCACCTGGAAAGAAAAAATTTACAGGTAGGAAAATATAAAATTTATGTAGTGGTTCATTAGGATGGGATACAGATTATGTTATCTCTTCATGAAACATCTTTCAAGAACATGAATAATAATACACAGATATCTGAATCATGCAGAAAAGCAGAATCATTTTCCTGTATAGCAGGGCCCCTTTCAAATCTTAGACACTTTACTGTAGAGTTTACCTGTTGAACAGAAGCCTTTCTCACTTGTTGAGCCGATATTTAGACACAAGGTAATGCACACTTCTGTAGTAACTTTAAAGGAATTGAAGTAAATGTAAAATATATCATTTTCTTTCCTTCTTCTGTGTCTGGTCACTTAGCTTTCTAGCCCTCTAATACATATAGGTAAGAAATTTGTGTAGAAACCTTTCTCTGTAACCCATTATCTACCACCTTTGGTCAAATTTTAAGATTTCAAGACAGACATGAAAACTGATACTGAGAAGTATTGTTTTTATCCATGTGATTGTCTGTAGATACATTTACAGTGTGGTATGCATACACTAACAATGACAGAGAAATGTTTATGCTAGCAAGTCCATGGGAAACGCGCTGTAAGCCCACCTCCCTTTACATGCAGCTCACATGGTAATAGAAGTGGTAGACCACTGCCCACCCTTCTCTGTTTCTCTCAGCTGCTTTTCTGAGTCACAAACCTGTCTTGTCCTTCTGCATAAACATTTAGATCCTCTTTTAATTTCTGTTAAGACCTCTGTTATTTGTTCATTCTGGGTTTTTTAGGACTTCAGCACAAAGTTTGCCCTTGGATACTACCCTTTTTCCACATGTTGTGGCTTCTGGTTTTGACCCTCACACTATATAGCTTTAACCTCTCCTTTCCAGTCTCAAGAATTGCACTGCCTGTTCTGGACAATGTTTTGTTCCTGATGGGCCTACCCACTGCTTTTGCTTTCTGTGAGAGGGAAACATCAGTTAAGAGTTCTGTTTGGCATTTAGACCCAGAACTAAAAAGGATGAACTGCACAGCATTTTCTGGAATTTTTATTTACTAAGTCCATGAGCAATTTGATGGATTTTTTTCAGCAAAGCTAACACAATACAATTGGACCCTACTTTGTTCATAAATCAGCCCCCAAAAAGAAATAAATATAATCAAAACCATTCTTGGTCTCAGGGTCACTCCCTAGCCCCAGGAAAGTTCATACTATCCATGTTTGCACTTTCATGAAGTTGTAAGACCTTTCAGCCCAAAAGGGTTTCAGGAGAGTGTCTGGTAATTTTTATTCAAAATTCTCACCTGTTGAAGGAAGCAAATGAAAGTAATTCTACCTGCAGACCTTTCTTTCCATCTCTGCACATTTACTATCACTGAGGTGCACAAGCTAAAATTTCTTGTGCAAAGTTACTGCTAACCATTTGCCCAGTCGCTTTTACTCTCTTTCCATTGTAATAACAGTTTGACACCAGGCCATCCAATGCCACCTGCAGATGTGCCACCATGATGTCACCAAGAATCTGCTCTGACCTATTTTCAATTCCTATTTTCAGTACCCTTTGTGAAGTGTACGATTTGGGCACTAATGGCATACTTTTAGTAAATAGTTCTGTAAAAATAAGGTGACCATCAAAAAATACCTGAAGTTCTTGCCCACAGTGGTTTCTGATCTATATCTATTTCATAGTCAATAGTTCATGTGCTTTTCTTAAGTCTTATGTTTCTACAGAAATCCTTAAGTTAGCCATAATTAAGTCATTCACTAGTTTCTGTATTCATTGGACAAAGAATTTTAAGAGAACCAGTCATCTTTCCAGATCCACATCTGAAAGGTTGAAAATCTAACAGAAAATGTTGGACTGGATTATAGATTGCATAAAGAAGTCCTGATAAAACACAAATATCTATGCTTAGTATAGAGGTCTACTCAACTGAAGTAACTGACGGGCCCATTCAAGTAGAAATGGTGATTTCTTCAGATTACATTGCAACACGTGATATCCTCAGGTCAGGCACTTGGAGTTCCATCCTCCCCTTTGTTAATTATTATGTTTACAGTGAAGTTTCTGAAAATGCTGTTGCATTTTGCACTGTTGTCTTTCAGGCTCTGAATAACTAGGCATCCATTCAAAGAAGTAGACATTTTTCTATTCTGGCATTGTTTCTGTCCACAAGGAAACTGAAAAGAGATTGTCTAAAATAATGTAATCTTACATGGTGGAACATCTTACCAAAGAAAGAGATACGTTTATTTTCAAGCATCTCAGTTTAACTGAGTGCAGCGAATCTTGGTGTACAGCATTGGTCGGTGACTATGTAACTTAAACAGTTAAGAATTTGTGCTTCAACAAAACTTAGATTTATACCCTGTGTGCTTTTTAGGGTACATGAAGTACTGTATGCTGCATGTCACTTTATCAGATACTGTCAGTTCCTCTTTGCTTGAGGCAACCAAATGAATTCCATACCTGTTAGTTCAGTCTGATGGTGCCAAAACTGCTGGTTTCCTCTGTTTTACACATTGACATGTAAACATGTGTTTGATAATTTGAGTTGACTGATAAACACAAGAGTGTGAGAACAGGCAATGCTGTGTCAGACCACAGGTTCACTGACACTATTCTGTTTCTTATACTAGCCCACAAGGGATGCCTAAGGAAAGGTAGAACAGGGCAAATTTGTAGCTGTGGTTCCCCTCCCCAGAATGCTCTCCCACCTTCAAGAAATCTGTGGCTCAGGAACTTTCTCAATCAGAAGGAATACTTTTGTATTGAATAACCCTTAATGTTTTTTGTTGGGTTTTTTTTTCTTCTGTGAATTTGTCTAGTTAATTTCTAACATGTAAACTTCTAACAGCCACTGCAATCCTGCTCCAAGGGCTTCAACATCTTAACTATGCTTTGTTTGAAAATAACTTTGTTTTATTCTGAACATGCTACCTGCTAATTTCATCTGATGCTCCCAGGTTTTCTCCTAGAAGAGAGATCCCTGTGTGCCCTTTCCTTTCTACTCAAGATTCTATACACCTCTACCATACCGCTTCTCGTTTTTCTCTTTTATAGCCTTAAGTGTCCTAGTTGGTTAGTCATTCCTTCTACAGAGCAGTTCCCTACCTTTGATTATTGTTGTTATCTTTCTCTAAACCTTTCCTAATTTTACTATAACTTTTTCAAGATGGAAAAGATGGACCAGATCTGCTTACTGTATTCAAGATCAAGGCACACTGTTTAGTTTTCTACTTCTTTTCTAAGAGCATACTTAATTTTTCCAGAATTGTGTTTGAGTCCTTTAGTCACATTTTGCATTGATTGTTCATACTCTGAGGTGCATCATGGTTCTCCCACAGTTGCTGTCATGACTTGTATAACCTCCTCTCTCAAGTATTCCTGAATACTCATTTGCATTGGTACAAGAAAATAGTATTACCACTCCTTTGTCTTAGCTGTCAGACTTAATGTAGGAAATAGAAGATGCTATGAGAGCCTAAACAGGGGTGTCTTCTGTTGGTTTAGATGCCCTAAGGTATGTGAGGCAACAACCCACTTGGCAAATATGATACAGCAGATAAGGAGGACTTACACCCTTCTGGAGTGACAGCTTGAGGACATAAAGAATACTCTGTGGCATCTAAAGTGACACTAGATACCTTTATTTAGGCATTGAATTTATGCCTAGGTGGTGATGTGTAAAACAGTCTAACTCTTATATGTCAATCAAGAGAGCTCTGAGTTCCAAATTAGCCATATTTCTTGGTGAAGGCAACACAGCAATAGCTGCAGTTTTGAAGAATTATGTCATGGCAATCTTTTTTTTTAACATTTGCATATAAATACTGATTGAATATTTTAAAATAATATTTCTTTTGATTCTCATTTAGGATGCTGGGGAAATGGTTCGATCCTTTGTTGGTGGCTTGGAACTGATAGTCAATTTGCTAAAATCAAAGAATAAAGAAGTTTTAGCAAGTGTATGTGCAGCAATTACAAATATAGCTAAAGATGAAGAAAATTTAGCTGTTATAACAGATCATGGAGTCGTCCCTCTGTTGTCCAAACTAGCAAACACAGTAAGTAACTTCTAAACATACTATACTAAGTATCCGAGTTTCTTATGTCAGACTGCATTATACCCAATGTAGAATCCTTCCTCTATGAGATATATGTTGGACATGAAAACACTCTGTGCCTGGTACTAAAATTGCTTTGGAAGATGAGCTTCATTTTGATAGTCACTGTTGCTGAATATGGCTTTTGAGAGATGCAGCTGCTGTATGAAAAAAGCACAAAGGATTGAGAGAGCAATAAATCTGAACGATGCAGAGAATCTCAATGATGGGGCTATATGTTACATTTTAATGCTAATCTTATCTAATTTCCGGCCAGTCTAAAATCACCTTTGAAATAATACAAAAATTCACAGCACTTTGTACAAAGAGAATAATAAAGGACTACTAGCTCCATGCCTTACAGCTCTCTCCAGCTTTTAATTGTACTGCAGTTAAATTGGGATGCCTTAAAGATGTTTGAGAATACAGTTCTGCTTTCCTATGAAATTTTTATTGTATTATGTTGTCTTTAATTTATTATGTTTTTACCTTCTTCAGAACAATGACAAATTAAGACGTCACTTAGCAGAAGCCATTTCCTACTGTTGCATGTGGGGGAGCAATAGAGTTACCTTTGGAGAGACCAAGGCTGTAGCTCCTTTAGTGCGTTACTTGAAGTCAAGTGATCCATTAGTTCATAGAGCTACAGCTCAGGCTTTATATCAACTTTCAGAGGATCCCAACAACTGTATCACCATGCATGAAAATGGAGTGGTGAAGGTGAGGTGGAAGGTTTTTCTTATCTGGAGTTCAAATTATTGAAGGGGTTTGGCATGGTCAAAAGAAGAGATGTTTCATTTGAAATAGTTCTTGAATACTGCTGTGTACCTCAAATTTTCTGAATTTTATCCGAAAAATGTTTGCTTAAGTAGTGCATTAGGAACAGTATTTCAGTACTAGAGATTTTACAGCTAGGTGGTTGTTAGGAATGGAAATATAATGTGGACATTCACCACTCGACTACTTGACTTGACTCTCACCTAGGCTGGTAGTGATGTCACATCAGCATTTTGTCATTTTCAAGTGACTTTTGCGAAAGAAGTTGGGTTATCTTAATGGATAGTTGCCTAGTATAGCAGAAAGTCACCTAGGAACTGCATGTAACTGGATTTGGGGACAAATTAAGATAGAATAATACAAACACTTAGTTTACCTGGAGCTGTTTCAGTGAATTCTGCATTTACTTATAAAAATTCTTATTTTAGGAGTTAAGTATGAGCACATTCTGAAAAGACCTTACTCTAGAAAGAATTTTTCTCTCAAAAAGATTTTTTTAGCAAAGTTTTATCTCACTAGTTGAAGCCAGTATAGTTATTCCTTTGGCACAGGAGAGATAAGGCTTATGGCGTTAGAGATGGCGATTGGAGGAGCTCTCAATTTTCATAAATTTCCTGAAAGATTCACTGTTTGCAGACTTTTCATTTTACTTCATGTTCAGGTAAATGTATTGAAAGTAAGAGTTGACTTATGATGTAATGTTACTGTTAATATTGAATTTATGCCTGCACTAATGATTGTGCACTTTATTGTAAGCAGTTTCAATTCTGGCACAGTCTAATGGTCCTGCATTATCATACATATATCTGTAGTTGGCTATATCTGTAGCTGGGTTAAAAAGATCCATTGGTCAAAAATGTTTAACGACTCAGTTTAAATACCAGTACTTGAACTGACTGAGATCTAAGCTGCCCTTTCGGTGCTGGAAAATAATGTTTTCCCATCACAGTTGCATTATACTGGCTGCCCAGCACAGGCGAATATATACTGCACTACAGCTCAATTTGAAACTAGTGTCTGATGACTTTCTAATGTTGCTTATCTTTCCATTCAACTGACACAACCCATTTTCTGCCCTCCTATTATCTGTTGTTTTCATTCATTTTATTATGCAGGTTTTAGGTTTTATAAGTTGTAGCACACTGATCGTACTGTATAAAGCCGATTCTGATGATATACTTTTGTAATAATTCCATCTCGGTCTAGGTTAATCTTTATTTTTCAGTCCCAGTTAAAATATTTAGACTAATTAAAAACATTTATTTGCACTTGCAGATAGATAGGGATGTACAGGTGCTAATTTTTTTTATTATTCACATTATTCTGGAATGACTATAATATGTTAAGGGAGAGAAAAGACAACTGATAAAAGGAAGAGCGAAACTACAGAATAAAGCAACTTGTGTCATGTTTGTTGCATCTAAACTTTTTTCGAGGGTGCACTTCTTTTCTTGTGTACCAGAAACTTGTATTTTTGTAATGCAATGGACAAGTGTTTGGAAGTGGGTTTGTATGTGGGTCCATCACGTATGAGAGGATATGTGACCAATTCTCATTGCGTGTGCCAGCACACACATGTATTTTTATCATATAAGCAGATATGCATTAGTAATATGACAGGAAGCAGCTGCATTTGGTCTGTGTTGAGACTAACAGCCAGGGTAGCAGTTCTGCTGAAAGGGACCTGGAGAGTAGGTTCAGCAAGCTGAACATGAGGCAATAGGGTGCCCTGGGAGTGATGAAGGCTAACAGGATCCTGGGCTGTGTTAGCGGGAGCACAGCCAGTAGGTCGGGGGGACGACTTAGCACTTACTAAATCACATCAGGAGTACTATGTTCAGTTTGGGCTCCAAGTCCAGTGGATGGCCACAAAGATGGTTGGGGACTGAAGCCCATGACTTGTGAGGGAACTGAGCTTGTCTAGCTTTGAGAAAGAAGGCCTTTGGGCAGCGGTGTCTAATAGCAGCCTGCCAGTGTCTAAGAGAAATTTATCAAGGCGACAAAGGCAGGCTCTTTACTGCAGCGCATGGTAGGAGGACAAGAGACAACGGTCATAAATTGAATCTGATGTGTTCCATCTAGACATAAGGAAAAAAATTCTACTGTGAGAGTAATGAACTCTGGGGAACAGTTCCCCAGAGAGGCTGTGGAATCTCCATCAAAAGGAATTTAGACCTGACTTGACAAAGCCATCAGCAACTGGTCTGAATTCTGTGTTGACCCTGCTTTGACTAGGAGGTTGGACTAGATGACCTCCTGAGATACCTTCCAACCCAAATGATTCTGTGATTCGGATCATCTGATTTATGTCAGATGGAAAATAATGAAAATAATAGAAAATATGGAAAATAATAATTGATCTTTGCAAACCACTTTTGCACTATCTTTTGATAATTAAGCAGTATTCTCCAGCTTCTCAATGGACTTTATTGAGCCATACTCATGGCATATTCAATTAGGGAAAACAGCCATAGATGTGATAATCAGCTTTCCCATTCAGTATGCAGAAACAGTCACCCTGTCTAATGTGGCAGAAACCTTCTTCACTGTACTTAGTCAGATGGATATCTCAAAAGAAATACTGTCAGAGGAACAGATTTAGTCACTCTGTTGTTTAGATACTTAGGGAGATGTGTAAGATAAAGTGTCTGAATTACACTCTGTATCATTCAGAAATGAAATATTCATTCCATGAACAGAAAATTCACTTGAATTTTAGGTCAGGGCTACAAATGTATGTGACTGAGAGATGCAGTGGTATCCCACATATCTTGAAGTATTTCAAAATTCCATGAGGTTTGACTAATCCTCCTCTGTAGTTCACAAGATCTCAGTTTTTTGGGGGAAAGCAATCTGACTGCAAACTAAACTTGTTCTGTAATGAATCTTTAAAATACAGCCAAACGTGATCAAGAATTAAGACGTTAAAGAGCATTAAGATAAAAACATCTGTAACTGCACATTGCCATGAAGGACCTGGAATAATTCTTCATACCTGCTAAGTATCACAATATGCAAAAGTCTTGGGAAGGATTTTTGGAAGTGATGCAGAATATCAGTGATATCACCTCTAACCTTAAAAGGCTGCACTGTTGATTCATGCCATAAGCTGTTCAGTTTGGTAGACTGGAATCTCTTCATAGCCAGGAGGTGACTGTGAACCAAATACATAGCCAGGAAAAAAACCCATTATGATTCCTTACTGCTTATTTTTCTTACTGGCAGTAAAAAATGAAACATCCTTGGAAGACAGTAATTTACCTGAAGGAGTAGTTCTTGCTAGTCCCCCCAAAAGCAAATATAATGGAAGTTTGGCACAGTGTGTTTTCGGATAAACTAAATCAAACTAGTCAAATGGTTGATATCATCCATACCAAAGACTATCAGCCAATGCACAGTCAAATGTACTGAACAAGTGTAAATCTTTAAGAAGACATCCGTCTAGCTCTTCAAGTAAGCTGTCTTCTGTTCAGTGTCCTACTGAAGTCAGTGTATATAGTGTAGAATCTGAAGTCCTAGAGTCACCCAGCAAATGTGTAACAATGAGGTGTAACAATTTACAATTGTAAATTGAGCCTTGAAAACAAGTTTAATACTTCTATAAGATATTAATTATTTTAAGAAATCAATCCAGCTGAAGAAATTCTTTAAACGCATCCTGTAATTAGTGCTAAGAGCTACAAATAGGTAGGTAAGCATGGAATTATCTTATTCAACACCTGCAAATATTTCATTTTTCTGTGTGCTTGTTTTCAATTACATTCAAGTAAACATTCATGGAAGTGCTTAATTACCAATGCTGCAGACATTTAATCTGGAGAATATGAAAGTAATTCTATCTGAACAAATAAAAACATTCTTCACAAATAATATTTCTGTATTTTTAATTATCCAGATATTTTAAAATAGCATTTTTTCTAACATAGTAAGTATAAATGGAGCTGTTGTTAAAGCTTCATTCCTTTAAGTCTTTAAGAAATGCTTAACACAAGGCAAACTGATAAAATGGGTAAGTCTAAAAAGTAGGACCCTGGAGCAGTTCCCAGCTCTTATGTCCAAGTGCATAGGCTGGCCACATACTGATTACACATTAGGACTAAACCTGGATGCATACATTCTGGTCTGTGTCAAAAAAAAAATGCAGATTTAGAACTCTAACCACAATATGTATGAATAATTGGGCATCAGGACTGTAGGGCATATTGCAAAATGCATTTGCCTTTCAACTAGGATATAGCCAGGGAGAATGCAATACTAGTGTATGTGTTGAAGTTAACATGGCTCAGAGATCCATGTTAATAAACCATGAAAAACTTGCTCTCCCTAGGCCATAAAGTGACAAAACTGCAGTGAGAGGTCATCAGAGCTAGCTCGCTCGAGCTACCTTGAGCCTTCTTAACTGTCTAGGTTTGGTAGCACGGAGCTCAGTGTCAGATGATTCGCCTTATTCTAGTACTATGACTGCAGTATAGGCGTACCCATTTTTTAAAAAGTGTGTAGTTTGGTTTTCCCCCTACTTTTCAGGGAATGGTATTCTCCCACCCACAAGAGGACAATACGTATGGTCATCTAGAGTTTCTTACCCTAAATAAAGCCTGGTTTAATTAGCAGTTATCCTGCTGTGATGTTTCCAATCACTTTCTAATGCTTATATATTGTGTTATACCTAGAATGGCAAAGCAGCAAAGCAAAGTAAAACAACAGATAGGCCTTTTTGGAGGATATATCAGACCAGTGAGACATAGTGCTTCCTATCCAGTGAGGATGCCCATATAATAAGTGAAGCATGGTGGACAGTCTGAGAAAATATGTTCTGTTGGACCTATGACAGTTTCTCCAGATGTGCTAGTCCAAGTGCTTTTGTTCTGTATTGCCCAGAGCTGAGCAGATCATGAAGCAAATCAACATGCACACCATGACAGCTCAGGGCACAGCTGGCCAAT